AATGAAAGACATGCAAATTCTCCAACTTTCTGAGCAATTGCCAATATAGTTTGCTTTTTAGTGGAAATTGGAATCCCCTTTTCATATTCCATCACATAATTCTCATTATAATCACACAACGTTGGATTTATGGTCAATGCGATCCAAAAAGCAACAAGAAAAGGATTGAATTTGATGGAAGCTCTACACAAGTCATTCAACCCTTTAAACTTTTTTCGGTTTTTCATTACTTGTAAAAAGATTGCCTCTCAGTGCAAAAAGAATGGCTACATATCATTTATACCTTTAGAAGTAATTGTAGCAATAGTATACCTTTTTTTTTTTTTTTTTTTTTTTTTTTTTTTTTTTTTTTTTTTTTTTGGAACCGTGTGAAATATAATGGTTGCACTATATATGACATGTGCAAACTATATTTATTTGATCTACAATAGTATGTCATTTTTAGGATAACTTTTTTAGGGGCAGGGGATGGCGGATTATGTAACTTGTAAGTTTTAATGTTTAGCTAATTTTACTATATTTGTCTTATTGCTCTTGCCGACAAGACTTTTAATAAGGTGAAATTGTTTGAAGGTCAAAATCAAGGTCAATATAATCCATATAGAGAAAATATACGATGTGCATGTATTCAATCTTCTCTTATATATATATACACGAGTATTTAGGATATGTTTTAGTAAAATAATACAAAGTATTTTTTTGCATACCATGTAAATTTCTTTATTTATAAATTATAATTATGACTCGATTATGTAATAACATTATAAAAATATCAATGAAAATTGATCAGTTTGATTAAAGAGTACCTCATTATCTTATTACACGTACACATTTGCAAATTACGTAAAATTTTGTAGTAAACCAGACTAAATTTCTTAAAGGTCAATTAAAGAAAGAAATTCCTACTACTACTATTAAATTGATTATTAGTATTAATACATTGCTTCTACTCAAATCCTGACTTTTTTTTTTTTGAAGGACTACTCAAATACTGACTTTGTATTAACATTGATTTGGAAAATTAATGCCTAAATAAGTAATGTATTTAACATACTTTTAGTATACATAGGTCATTTGTAACAACATTAAGCAATATCTTACTAGCTTAGTAATGAAAATTGAAATAAATCTTCCTAATTCTAGGTTCCTAGTTAGGTAGCTGTATTCATAGCTTGCTATATTAGTACTCGTATTAATTCATAATTATATTGGACCATGCAATTTGATGAAACTTCGGAGTAATTAAACACATACTGACAATAATAGACCTACTAATTATTTTAAAATTATAATTAAAGAATAGTATGGGATCTAGAAAGTTGAGGCAGGTGATCTACCAGATTCTAATTTAATCATATACTGTCGTACAATTATAAAATACGGAGTATTTGATTGTAATCGACGCCAAATTAAAGCTGAGATCAGATTTCAGTAATGTTAATCTAATTATGGATCACATTCTTCTATTTAATCTCAGCTCTTTTATATAGTATGAGCTGAGAGTTGCAGGAAGAAATTTAGATGTTTGTGTAAATCTAATACGGATTAAGGAGTATTGCACTTCGTATTATTTAATGTATGTATCGACTGTATATACATAATATTGTTAAACGCAAAGTATAATTATTGACCATTAAATCGTAAATGTATCACAAGATTCACAATTTATTAATCACATACATTACCAAATATAGAATAGATTTTGTAATGTGATAATAAACTACTACTACTACTAGATTAACCTAGTTTTCAATTTATCTCTTGATTTAATATTATATGTGTCTCTATTTTCTTTCTCTTTATCTCTCTCATCTTTAAAAATTATCTAACATTTTATGATTTAAAAGTAATGCATCTAAAAAAATGGAGCAAAGTATATTTTTATTTTAACCAAGACGGCCTTAAGTATAATTTAATCACTTTTTTTCCTTTTTAATGTTGAAAGATATAAAAGAATAATAGGAATGCCACCCAAATAATGATTCATGATCCACCAAAAAAAAAAAAAAAAAAAAAAAGGTGAAGTGGGGTTTTAATAGATCACGAGCAAAAGACAGCAAATATCATTGAAAATTTCATGAAAAAAGTTACACATAGTTGCCAATAATTCTAATATTGGACGTTATTGTCGTTTTCGGTCCATTTCTTGTAATAAATTTATTTTCCTAATTTCCAAATTATGCATATATAGACATATAGTGCTAAGAAAATCTCTTGTTTTTTCTTTTTTATATACCAAAGTTTGTTCTAGGAATAACAGTACTTTTAAAATTATTCAAAGTGGTCCATTAAATCTAATGGAATGAGAAACTTTAAAATTACCACATATTTAAGGTGTCTTTTACCTAAAGTGCTAATGGAGTATATTCTTTTTAATTGTTTCCAAGAAAATTTGTTTTTTCACTCCCATGCTTTTTAATTGGTGGGTACCATGTACCAATGCATGTTTGAACGTTAACATAATTATCACTTTGCCCTCAATAGGGCAAATAGTAGTGAGTTAAGGAGATTTACCCTACCAAACGAAAAAGTTTATAAGGAAATGTTGGGTTGGTCGATATGAAATTTTATAACTCTGTAATAAAAAGAAAATGTGTATTTATAAATTACTCGAAGGGTGTATTTTTTTATTTCTTATTGTTTGTTCTTATTCTTCTGTATTTAAAACATTTCTAATGAAAAGTGTTAGAACATGCTTTAATTTATAGTAGAAGCTAAGGTTTTATACAACAATCATATAAGTCAGGTGAAACCTAAGTTCATTCGTATTTTAAGGAAATATAAATGTGGTATCATCATTTTAGACGTTGTACTCAAAATATATATAATAGTAATATGATAACTAATTTTTATATGATTATGAATTATGATCAAACGTTAATTCGCCTAAAATGTCATCAAGTAGAACTAATAAAGTAGTTAACTCATGTCGTCCATTGGTTAGTGGAGCATACATTTTCAATGTGGCTCCTACTCTATGAGAGTCTTTAGTTGATCATGATTGAGTTGGATGTAATGACCTTTTCTCATGTTGGAATTAGGAAAGTCAATAAGAAGACACATACAAATATACAATGGCTCATCTCAATCAAATTAAATACTCTACAAATAAAATGAGTGTGTCCATCGCTAAGAATTATTACTCGTACTTCCGCTATGTTTTACTTTGATTGTTTATGCTATTTATAAAATTCACTTTATTATAATTTTACTAATATGTAAAAAAGCTAAGATATCAGATAATATGTAATTGAATTCATCTATTTTATATGTTTTTCAAAATAATTTTTTTGATTAATGATTCATACCTAAAAACCAACATGCATCGATCTTACAGTAAAATAACTAAAAAAGCAAAAGGGAGTATAAAAAAAATTTGATTGTCTTATAAAATCACTAATTGTTACCACTAGATTCTTTCAATTTTCAACTATTATTTGTTAAATTGAAGGATCAGTAATTTAGAAAAATATGTAGAAAATATATGTAAATGATAGATGATGATTTCCAATACATAGATAAGTCGAAAGGAATGAGGGCCCTAACTTATTTATTCCCTCAAAAGCTTTGTCCCAATGTTGTGACACCATCTCCACATGAAGTTTATTGACACTTCGCATCGTTTGAGCCTACCAAGTTTTCACCGACAATCTATATATTCATGCTCCATTGCACACATATTTCGCTTTGGCTTGACAAATTAGGAACAATGACCTAAAACTCGTATTTGTCTATTTAAAGAAAGAGGGAATGCTCTTAATATTAGTTTGTTTTTTTAATCTAGGATATTGACTTTTGGTACTGAGTTTGTCAATGTTAGGGATTATATTTAGGGATCCATATATGTAAGAAATCCAAAGTTAAAGTATAATGAGTTAATGACCTAAACTATACTCATATTTGTCTGATTAAAGAAAGAGGGAATGCTCTTAATCTTAGTTTTTATTTTTATTATTATTATTAATTTTTTTTTTTTATCTAGGATATGCACAACGTTAGGGACTAAGGGTTGTATATATAAGAGGTCCGAAGTAAAAGTATAAGTTAAACTAAATATTAGGTAAATTGATATGATTTCACCTTAGATTTTTTAAAATAATATGAAGTACTAATTTAACAAATGTGTTATCAACTTATCAATAATCAATAATAACTATATACTAAAGGCGAATAAAAAATGACACGTGTCAAAATTTGGCTAAATAATTTCCCGCCAAATTTTTTATTTACTTTTTTGCCAAATTATCATAGGAAATTTTTAATTTACTATAATATTTTCTATCCCACTTTACCAATCAATTAACTATTACTAAAACAAGACATTGTTGAGGTCATCACTATCCACATGTCACTCTCACAAAAAAAAAAAAAAAAATACCGCCTAAATGCAAGGATGATGTCATTTTTGTGTGTGTGTGTGTGGCGCGCGCGCGCACGCGTGTGTGGAGCTAGTGAGCTACCGTATTTAATAATTTTGGAATTTGAATATTAGAATCTTCTACATTACAATTTCAGCTTATCAATTTATCCTAAAAACATAAAACAATTATAAATAGCACACTAATAAATGGACTCCTACGTTCGAATATGTATTAGGCGATGTTGAACAGGTATTATATCATAATTTTGATGAAAATCTAAAATTTTAAATTACAAATATTTTTGTACAAGGTGCATAACTCTTATTTATTTTGATACATATTTTTTTTTAAATGTACAAATTATAAAAATAGAATATATGTAAACGTGCATCGCCGGGTTCTAACCTAGTGTGTGTGTGTGTATATATATATATATTTACATTCAAGTTAATTACTATTCCATATATTTTATATAACGTAATTTTTCTCTCCCAAATTCAATAAAACATTTTTGCAACAACTTATAAAAAATTTAAGCAAAAAATTATTATTACAATGAAGTTTTTGTTTGTTATTTATTTATTTATTTTATTTTATTTTATTTTATTTTATTTTTGACAAGAGCAAAGGGAAGAAAAATTACACTAGATTCATAACATTAACCCGACATTGTCTAGTAATGTCATTTGCCCTTTGAACCTGATCTCTCTGCACTTTTAGGATTGTGCATCTTTGGAACAAAGCACCTACCTCTTTTAAACCCTTGAGGCACCAAGTGATCGAGACCTCTTTGCAACTATTACCCTGTAAATTATTCAATAGGGATAAAGAGTCAGTTAAAACCAGGATCTCATTCCTCTCCGTAGAGCGAGCCCATCTCAGAGCTTCCAAGCAAGCCCAAGCTTCACACTGTAAAGCAGAAGCTGCCACTCCGTACTTACCTCCCTCACCCGTCTCTCCACCACTACCATTGTCTTTAATAGCCCAACCTATTCCTACTCTCGTGGTTGTCTTGTCCCAGGAACCATCGACTTCTACTCTGAAGTCATCAAACCCTGTCCTCTCTTTCCCCAACTGGACACAGATAAACCCTGGGGGTAGGGTAGGATCATCCCTACCAATCGCCTCTTCCTCCGATAATATACCAGCTCGATATATGAAATGTTCATGGTCCTGAATTGCAGCATCTATAAAATCTCTAACCTGGCTACTCGTCCCAACCGCGTTTCTGAAACATCTGGCATTCCTAGCCTTCCACAAGCCCCAAAGAGTTGCAATAAACCTCATCCAACGACCTCCTTGTTTCCCATCCTCGCTATAATAAAGCAGGATATAGTGATGGATCCATTCCTTTAGAGAAATAGACCCCAGTGAGTCAGGGAAAACGTCTAGGGGACTCATCTCCCAGACTTCCTTTGCCTGAGTACAATACCTGAAAAGATGTTGACTATTTTCCTCGCCCTCTCTACAGCGATCGCAATCTGTTTCGATACGCATGCCTCTTTTTGCCAAGTTTTCCTTCACGGCAATGCCATCGTGACTCAACTTCCAAAGAAACAACTTCCATTTCGGTTGTATATTCATTCTCCAAATTAGCTTAATAAATTCCTGCTCCCTTTCCACGCAATTGGTGGTGTTTGACCCCAATTCCTTAGAAAGATAGAAGTATCCTGTTTTAACCGTATACTTGCCCGATGGGTGGTATTTCCAATAGAGAAAGTCGTCCTCATTGTCTAGCGGGAGCTCCATCAATAGAATTTTCTTCGCCCAGTCCCAATCAAAACATTCTCTGACCTTCCCTGCCTTCCAAGCTCTCGTATCCCTATCTATAAAGTCACTAACCTTCCACGTCGAAGCCACCCCTAGAGATTGGCTTGATTTAACTAAAGGGATATCCCCTTTCACCTATGGCATGCTAATTGCCTTAATCTGGTCCCCGTTCCCTACTTTCCAAGCAAATCCCCTCTTGAAAGTGTGAGAAACTTTTTGAATACTCGTTCTTCCTAGAGACGGGTTACCTTTTCTGATGTATGGTCTAGCCATGTTGCGCAACCCACACTGTTGCAAACCTTTATGAGTTCTAGAAAGAAGCAACTGTGGATTAAGATGAATCCTGGTAGCCTGTTTGAAGAGAAGAGCATCATTAAGCTTAGACGAGCCTCTAATTCCCAATCCACCCATTCCTTTGGGCAGCTGAGTAATCTTCCTGTTTACCCAATGCAACCCCCTGTTCCCCTTGCTGGACCACAAAAACCGAGAGATCAAAGAATCGATCTTGTTAGCAATGCTCTGAGGTATTTTCAAGCACTTCATGACATGGGCCGACGTGCTGATCAGCACCGTGTTAATAAGGATAAGTTTTGCTACTTGAGAAATATTCAAGTGGGCCCATGACATAATTTTACTTGACACCTTGTCAACTAAAAATTGGAAGTGTGAACCTTTTTTCCCATGTAGATCGATTGGTGCTCCTAAATGTATCCCCATATTTCCCATTTCCGGCATAGACAGACACTGTTTCACTATTGCCTTCCTTTCCTCATCTACCCCTGGAGCAAACTTAATGGTAGACTTCTGTAGATTCAATTGTTGCCCCGAAGCCTCGCTAAACCTTTGAAGAATGTCTGATATACATTTGCAAGACTCTTCATTAGCCTTGAAGAAGAGCATAGCATCATCTGCAAAGAAAAGATGGGAGATTGCCGACGATCTCCGTGATACCTTAAGCCCTTGGAATTGGTGAATATCTTCAGCAATGGCCAACATTCTAGACAGAATATCCATGCAGAAGATGAAAAAGTACGGGGATAGAGGATCCCCCTGTCTCAAACCACACTTTGGAGCAAAGTGCCCTGAAGTATTCCTGTTAATAATCGTTTTATAACTCACCGTCGTCACACATTGTGAAATCATCCTAATCCAGTGAGAAGGGAAACCATAGGCCTGTAAAACCTTCAGAAGAAACAACCAATCCACTCTATCATAAGCCTTAGACATGTCAATCTTTAAAGCTGTAAAATTCGAACCTTTCCTTGAGTTGATGAGATGCATAAGTTCATGACTCAGGAGAATGTTATCCTCCATGTATCTCCCTGGGATAAAAGCATGCTGGTTCTCCGAAATTATGCCCGAGAGGATTGGTTTCAATCTGTTAACTAAGCACTTAGAGAATAAGTTTATTTTTTATTTTTATTTACAGAATATTGACCTTTACTTTTTATAAAGAGAATATTTTTATTAGAAAATTGTTCAAATACAAATTTGGTAAATCAATGCTTTGCACAGGACCATAAGCAGTGTTCCTACTGAAGTAGAGTATAGTGTAATTGAATAAAAAAAATTTCCTAACCTACATAAACAAATGGAAATACACTATTGGATTCAATTTACCTACAATCTTCATTTTATGTTGCATTGAAACATAGGTAATCATCTACACATGAAAGTAATTATTCAAAAATATTTAATCATTTTCATATTTTAAATAATAATTTGATTTAGGTATAAATATTCGCATTGTTACCACAACATTATTGTTATTCTCAATGCTAGAATCATTGACAACTTTTTTCGCTTTTTTAGTACTTGTATATATGTAACATTAAATTTCGACCATTATATATTTGTCATTAGTGGCTCTCATCTCATAAGAGTTATAACCATCACAAACTCTACAAAAATAACTATAGATGGTTCTACTCCTAGGGATATGATTAATATAGTCTTTTCCCCAATTAAATAACAGATTAATTATTAAAAAAATTATCATTAAATTATCTTATCGCACAGTATAAGATTTTTTTTACACAATACTACATAAACTTAATAGGAGTACTATTGATTATTGTAATGGAAATCAATAGTCAAAATTTCAACAATGAGTAATTATAATTATAATTATAATTAATTAAGTTAAAACAAGAAATCAAATAATTTGACCTCATTTCACCCTAGTCAAGAACTACCCTACATAACATAACAACCCCATTTCCCAACTCCCACTTATTCCTCCTGATTTTGATGCCGACAAAATGCCAAGTCATCAAAATCCTCAAAAATCCTAAAAAACCCAACTTAGTACTAATACTAAAACAATTAACTTAATTAATTATCTTCAAAAAACAAAAAAAAAATCAATTTAATTACAATAATAAAATAATAATAAATCTCCAACTGATCAATCACTCACACTCTTCAATTCCCTCCTTCAATTCAATCCATATTCATTTACTCCCCCCTAACCAAAGCTTCGAATCTCTCTCCTCCTTTAATGGCGATCAAACTCACCCGCCTTCACTTTCTCTCTCTACCCTTTTCTTCTTTCTCTCTCCTCCTTCTTCATCTTTCAACATCTTCTTCTTTTTCTACAATGTAATGTAACCATCACTCTGCATTTATTCCTCCTCTGAAATTTTAATTTGTTGCTCAATTTAATAAAAATGGAGAAAATTTATATCTTTTCTTCTTTCTATATCTTTATTTTGTTCTCTGTTTCATTGGGTTTTGTCCAAGCCAATACTGATGCCAATGACGGTAAGAATTTCATCCTTTTAGCTGTTTTTTCTGCTTTAATTTGGATAATTTATGGATTTCTTGGTTTATTGCATCTGGGTATGTTAAAGATTTAGTCTTTTTAGCAATTTTAGTAATGAACGAAAAAAAAAAACAATCTGGGTAATTAGCAGATCATCAGGAAAAATGAAAACTTTTTTCGGGGATTATTAGTACTTTGATTTTCATAAAGTGGGACCAGATTATTTGTTTTGTGTTGGAGTTACTTTGAGTTTCTGAAACTTGTTACTAATGTGGCCAAAAATTAACCTTTGATAAGGTTATAAAAGAAGAGAGAATATTGAGAAGGGGGGACCTTTTTTTTTGGGTAGTATAGGTTAATTTTATTTTGGATTATTAAGTAGTTTATTGCTGGGACCTTTTTAAGGAAAAATGTTGCATGTTGTTCAATTTAATTTTACTGTGCTTAATTATTTTGCTGTTAGCTTGTTATTACTGTATATTATACAATTTGATTGAATGTTATGAGTTTTTGTATTGTTTCTTGACTAGTTTTGAGTTGTAAGGGGTTATGATTGTGCACTATTGGATTTCACTAGACCTTTGGTCATGATGGGAGCTATATTGGTGTTGGATTTTTGTGTGTTTTTAGAGACGTGTTATAATAGTCAAGTGTTTAGGGTTTGGTAATTTGGTTGTGTCCATCTTAACCTCCTTATACCTTGCCGGTTTGTCGTTGTCGTCTTCATGAAGATTATTGAAGGGGAGAAAGGAAATCAAATTCTTTTCTTCCCTTAATTATTATACTTTTTAGGAGCTAAAGGCACTTTTTTTTATTTTATTTTGTTTTATTTTTAATGTAAGCAATTCAAGTTTTGTATGGGTTTTACTTTTGATGTGGGCTTTGTGATTTCAGCACAAGCACTTCAAGTTTTGTATGGTGCATTGAATAGTCCCTCTCAGTTGACGGGATGGAAAACGGGTGGCGGTGACCCATGTGGAGAGTCTTGGAAAGGTGTTAAGTGTGATGGTTCGGCTGTTGTTTCCTTGTATGGTTCTACAATTCTACTCATGGTGTGCTTTTTGAGTTGTGCATTGTTTTACGTTTATATTCTTGTGCATTTATGTAACTTATTGAGCCAATGTCACAATGTTGGATTGACAGGGATATTTCCGGGTTAGGAGTAGGCGGTACAATGGGATATTTGCTCTCAAACCTTGCCTCATTGAAGACACTGTGAGAAAGCTTTTTGAAGGATTCTTTACTCTTATTTGTTATTGCTGAACAGTTATTGATAGTTTAATCCTGTTGACAGGGATATGAGTAATAATAATATTCACGATCCTATCCCATTTTCAATGCCGCCGAATCTAACATCTTTGTAAGATTTTAGTTGTGTATGTGTATATGACACTCTTCTCTGGTTGGGGAAAAGATTACTTGAATTATCATCAGTTATGTTCTTTGTTTGTGCAGAAATCTAGCACACAATAATCTGAGTGGAAGTCTTCCATACTCCATTGTGAACATGGTTTCACTATCTTATTTGTAAGCAACTCTTCTCTTGCTTTTGGTAATGTGTTCGGTCATATTGTGGTTCTCTTACAAGTCTGGTACCTGTTATTCAACTCTACCATTGCAGGAATGTAAGCCGTAATTCGCTCTCCCAGCCAATTGCAGATGTGTTTGCTAATCATACAGCCCTTGCAACCTTGTAAGACTACTAAAGTCACACACTTATTGTTAATATTCTTTGATACTATTTCATTTTCAAAAATTTATCCGTTAGTCAAGTTGCTTTTTAAGCATTGCAATATGTTTTCTGTTCAGAAAGAATTACCTGTTAATTTGCAATGTCATGCAGAGATCTATCATACAATAATTTCACTGGAGATATTCCAGCTTCTTTTAGTGCCTTGTCTAATCTTTCAACACTGTGAGTTCTTGCTGAAGCCAGTTATTTTAGCCATTCCGTTTATTAATTCATTTGTTGATCAGACATCTCACAGTACCCTGTTAACTTTTGCAGCGAGGTTCAAAACAATCAGTTAACCGGTTCTCTTGATATTCTTGTTCCACTGCCTTTGGATAATCTGTAAGTTTTTCCCTCAAATTTTCTTTTCAGATGCATACGGTTATGATTATTTTACAGAGAAAGTTAAACTTTTTTTAATTGATAATGGCGTTGAATAGAAATGTTGCAAACAACCACTTCACTGGTTGGGTACCACAAGAG